CTACGCTGCCGGCCTCTGAACCCACTCCCGACTGGAAGTCGTCGTCCAATTCGATGGTGGAACCATCATTGTCGACGAACATGATGCGTCCCTTCGCTTTCCAGTTGGGAGGCAGTGACTTTTTCCTACCATCCGTCGTGGGTGTCTGACCATGCCCTATCTTTGCTTCAAGGTCTAGGGCCTTCTTGCTAAATGACGGGAAGTTGTGCATGCTGATGTTGGCCTCACCTGCCAACTGATTCCTGAGAGGCATAGGAAAGCATCTCAGGTAGGAGGTGAGTAAAACCTGGGGGTCATAGCGAACCCCAGGGACACAGATAAGACGCTCTACAGCGTCAGTGGCCTCTCTCACTGACTTAAAATGCCTCGTGTGCAATGTCAAGATCGCGTCAGTAGCCTTTTGGGCCTCCTGCGGATCATGCCACCTGTCTTCCACCAACTTGAGGAAGTCATCTAATTTCTGGGTGACCGCCCAAGCGCGAAAGTCATGACCGTACTCCTGGAGCTGCACTAAACCACTCAACCATCTTGTTGCACTCCCCTCTAGATAGGAGGCAACCACAAACACTTCCTCGTGCGGCAAGGTAAGTTTGCACTTAACATAGACTGGCACTGCCCTCAACCATGTGTTGAGGTCTTCGCCCCTCTTATCCCCTGTAAAGGGTTTAGGAGCGGTGATGACCATCTTTGGAACCCACTAACTTTTGTCCCGGTACCTCCACCAATCTGGGCTTGTGGACCCTGTGGTGCAAGTTGCTGCACTATCTGCTGGGGCTGTGAACCTTGCGCCTGTGCAGGCTGCCCGCTTACGGCAACCTGAGACGGAGGTTGGGAGAACACTATCTGTACAGGAACCTGCAAACTAGGACCTGCAGAGAACCCGCTTGTTAAAGGCATACCCTGGGAGACAGGCTGAACCGATGCGAGAGCGGTATATGGGGATACCCCAATCATTGGTGGGACAAAAGGAGGAGGATGTACAATGGGCCAGTCACCAGGCCCGGACAGTGATCGTGCCGCCTGCACTCGCCCGACCAACACGACCAGACTCTGCTGGATGTCTTGTAAGATCGCCGTCTCGTCTGTTGATCTTGCATCTCAACTACTCCTAGCAAGACCGACCTCAGGGTCCTCACTTCATCATCCAACTCCGCTGGGTCCATCTCCTCTAACTCACTAATGTCCACTTGTTGCCGCTGCAACCCGACTCTTCTTCTAATCATTCTTTCTTTTTCTGCCTTAATCTCTCCCAAAGTCTTCTGTAGCTGTGCCTCGCGATCAGCAGCTCACTGTATGGCGACCTCCTCGGGAGTCAACACTAATGGCTGGCTTGCCATTACGCCAGTGGACTGACTCAGGGTCTGCGCGACCGTTGACCCTACGGTCCCTGAACTGCTAGCCTGGGAATTCTGCTGCACAGCAGTTGCCATGGCTGCTGAAGTTGCGGCTTCGCTTGCGAATGCCCTGCTGGCCTCTGCTGCCCTAGTTCTCCTCTGCTGCTGCTGTCTCTCCCTAAGTTGGCGGAACAAAAATCTGTCACCCTCTGGTCCTAAGGTCAAGTGGGCTATCAGGCGTCTAGCTGATCGCAAGATCCGGTCGTCCTCACTAGTGGTGTCCCCATTGCTCATAAGCTACAGAACTGTACATAATCTGCACTAAGACACTATTTGATGCTTACCGCAGCATAGTGCACAAACCGACTTATAATTAAACTAATTAATCAGTGGCTGTGTCAGAGAGTATATACATTTGGGTGTGGCTGCGTCAGAGAGTAGATACATTTGGGTCCAACAGGTAAGTTCAGGTTCCTACAAACGAGACTACTTTGACTTTGACTGGTTCGCGAACAGAAGCACAATGAACAAAGAGCAGTTCTAAACTATGCTGGTTGTCTGATGTTAATTGCTGTACATCTAACTAATCAAAGATAAAAATAGAATCGCTTGTTGGGTCTGTTTGCAGAATGTCTTGCCCAAACTTATCACATGGAATCTACCCCTCCCTCAGTTCTTCTTGAACGTCTCTTGTCGTCAACGTCCCTGAGCGATCCATATAGTGTGCATGTCTGAAGGTGTGCACACGGCCCACCCCTGTGGCCCGAGTCCTGCTGAGCTGGCCAGCCCTGCACAGTTTTATCCTCGCGTGCAGCGAGCCTTACACAGACCAATTGGCTGATCAGGAGGCGTTTTTATGGACGCCCCCCAAAGTCCTCAGGAATTCTTTAACGTCGCAAACAGGACGACGATCACAACCAATGGAAGGTATCCCGCCAGTGCTTATTTATAGACGCCCGGTCTCGTCTGTCCCATAGGGCTGGCCTGCCCTTCAGAACCCCTCTACAGCGCAGCGAGCAGACAAAGGACAAAGCAGCAAAGCATGCGTGCTCTACTCCCGGTGGGTTGGCACGTGCATGTATCACATTAGGCAGAAGATAAGTGCCAGATTAGCGCATCAAACCACAGTTCTGATACCAAATTGCAAGGAAGATGAGCAATAGCGAACTTCAGCAGTCAAACAGCATCATACACATGAGACAAGATAGTCGTGACCTCAAACCAAAAGCAGAATTGCATCACGAGTTTCACCAAATAAGAGCACACCAAAAGCTCATAATTGACAATGCTGGAATAGTCTCATCATCATCAACGAAGAACCAATGTTGATATCCTATTGGGCGCTCGGCGCCCAGACTACGAATGGCAGATCCTATCTAGCCTAGACTGCAATGCCGCTGATGACATCAACAGCTTCCCAAGTATGAGCAGACCTCGGCCAATGCCGCATGCGTCAAGCACCAGGTATGTCTCTTGTATCACTCACAACCTCGTTCCCCAACTCACAGCTGCCACTTGCACCCAAGGACCACCATGCACCCCATCCAGCATACAGCAGCGCAGCTCGGCTATGGCGTCCTGCTCCTTCCAGCTCGCCCGTGAGCGCGTGAGCCTGGCAGGCGATAGTGCAGCAGCGCTTGCGCACAAAGCAGCCAGTCCCCAAATGTCCAATGCGTGGGCTGGCCCTTTCCTAAATGGAAGTGGCCAGCCTGCTTGTGTGCAGCCTGGCTGCGCTGGGCCCCTGCCCAGAAGCTTCTGGTAGGCCCAGGGAGGCTGAGCCTCATGCCAAACGAATCAGGCCCAGGGCCACCGACAGGGCCACCGACAGTTACCCGTGCCCAACTGCCCACTGTCTGCCTTGGGTCTGTGCTGCGTATGTCGCCCAGGGCCTGACTTAGATACATTCGAAAAAGGAGGCCAGGGCCTGGGCGTCTTCAACCAACTGGCGCTGTGCAACTGCCTGAATTTTCCCCAGATGCGAAGTAGTCCAAAGGAGGCCTCTTGTCGTCTGTCGGGCCTGCCTTCACTTAGGGCGGCCGACCTGTTGCAAATAGGGGCCCAGTAGGGCTTATCGAGGCCTATGCCTCGCGCACATTAAGGCACCCCCCTTTAAACCCCTTTAGCCCCTTTAAAATTCATATATACTCCCCTTCCCCCCCCTTGACAGCCAACACTCGAAAAAGGAAAAGAGCCCGGATTTGGGCTCCTCTCGGAGAGTGAGGAAAACCCCCACCGCCAAATTGTTTTATTTATTTTTCTCAAAATTTTCCCCCATGCCCCGGTATCCCGTGCGTCAGACCCTCCCGGGCGTCATGCACGGGTGACTGGCAGGTCCAGACCGGCTGGTCATGAAAATCTTCCTAGGCAACAATTTCTTTCCTTTTTTTTTTTTTTTTTTAATAACTCACCCTCGTTGTATTCTGGGAGGGCACCAGTCCGGTTGCTTATCCCCGGCAAGCATGAAGTAATAACATAAAGAAGATAATGAAAAGACAGTGTCACAAGGCAACTAACCAAGTAGTGGGAGACTACTTTAAAGTACCCAATCCTACCCTGTTAACCTGAATTGCCCATGGTGCAACTAACCAATCCTGCTACCTCATTTAGGGAGATCAAAACTCATAATAATAATTAAAAAAAAAATATAGTAAACAATGAATACTTCATGATCTGCCAGAAAAGAAAAAATGTGAGGAAAATGTCTAAAACGGTTAAAACTTCAAAACCATGGTAACCGTCCGGACGTCCGGACCGGGTTCCAGACAGTCCGGTGTCCGGTGTCCAGTCCTTATGTCCGGATGGAGGCCCCTGGGGCAAAAAAAAATAAAAAAAAATGGGGCGGTCCAGGACGTTTATCGGGTCCTGGCCGCCCCTCGAAAAATAACGAGGTGATTTTTCAATGTTGTTTCACCCACCGGACAGGGCCTAGAGGTCCGGACACAAGACACTGCAGGTTTTTGGGGTGGCGGGTTTCGCACAGGCCCGAGCAATTCCAAAGCGGCTGTTTTGACGTGGCACCTGCCGCTGCTGCCTGTTGCACACACACACACACACACACACACAGAGAGAGAGAGAGAGAGAGAGAGAGAGAGAGAGAGAGAGAGAGAGAGNGAGAGAGAGAGAGAGAGAGAGAGAGAGAGAGAGAGAGAGAGAGAGAGAGAGAGAGAGAGAGAGAGAGAGAGAGAGAGAGAGAGAGATCACTGACATTGCTGCCAGTCTGAAGACTCTGACGTTCTGAGTTGAACTGCAAAGTTTGAAGTTTTAAGTTATATATGAAGTTATGAACTTGAATTTCTAAATTCAAATTTCAAAGTTAATCATACTGTTTTCAAAAAAGAATTCTCTGTTTCTTTAGTCTTGTGCCTGCGTTGCACTGTTTGCAACTCTGCATTTCTGCTAGTTAAATGTGCTTGTTGATTTGCTGCAAGACACATGCTCTGCTGCCTGAACTACAGAGTGCAAAGCAGGTAAGTGCCAGCTAACACCCATCCCCTCCCCCCCGTTGTTTTTTTTTTTTTGGTCCGGACATTTTTCGCACCCCAGGCACCGGTCCGGACTCTCTGGGTCCGGTGATGTCCGGCGGAGGAGGAGGAAGACATAGGAGGAGGAGGAGGAGGAGGAGGAGGAGGAGGACGGTAGCAATGATGGTCTATGACTAGATCTTACCATATAGATTAGACTCGCAGACCCACCCTGTTTCTCCTTTGAGGCCCAGTGTGCCACATACCTGAAGTGAAATGGAAACAGCTATGAAATGTCAGACAAAAACAGCTATGAAATGTCAGACAAAATAACATGTTTATTATGGAAATGCTAGAAGAATTTATTCTCAGTTTTAGTGACATGGCCTCACAAAGATCTGAAAGGTTTTACAGCAAAACAGCAAATAATCTCGGCTTTTTTCCTTGCCCAAGATATTCCAAGTCGTCTTCGGTCTACATGAGAGGAGGACCACACACTTTGTTACGGACTTCGCCAGGGCTCGATCCCTGGTCTATCTTTTGCTGTTTCGGCTGCATCCCGTTTTCGGCCTAGCACCCTTTTTCCAAACCCCTCCTTTGGTACCGTAGGATTTTGGACAACTGGCGCCATGCTGCAATTCGGGCGCCACTTTCAAATACTGCATTTTTCAGTTCTGCCCTCGGGGCCTTTGCAGAAATGCCCCTGGTACCGTACGTGTCACCGGTACTTATGCCGGCTCCCCGTACGGTACGGGGGGAGAGTCTCGACCAGTTCTCTGCTGCTGTACTCGTACTCAGTGTGACTTGCCGTTTCGACATTCGGAATCCAAGACTTCGACTTTGTGCCTTGCCACTGTGTCTGCGTCCGACCCTCAGTCCGAGTCCGTCGTGTCGAGTGAGTGAGTGTGTGTGTGTGCTCTCACTCTCTCCCTCTCTCTCCCTCTCTCTCATCTCCCTCGGCTCACCCTCAGCCTCACGCTCGTTACACACTTGCCATTTGAGTGGTGATGCCGTGCATGACTTGCTGGATCGTTCGGTATAAGGTGAGATATTTTCAAAAAGAAGGGAGAAAAGGACAGAAAAAGGGATTGAACGAATGAACTCGATAAAGCGCGGAACACATCAAGCTGGGCATCACACATGACAGATCACACAATGTGTTCATATGTAGGCACAATGCCCGAGCATTACCCTTCTCACCCATTTGCTCAGGTAATGCGTAGGTAGTAGGTACCAAATAAGTGACAAAATAAATAGATCTGCTTTTGCTCAAACTCACTTCCAACGTCCTCCCATTATTGCTTCTGTGCCTCTTCCCGAGACCTGGCATGATGTCCCATAAGTGCCCCGTGTCTTCTCCTATTCCCAACCTCGCCTCCTCACCGGATTCACCCATCTCTCCTCGCATTCCCACCTCCTCCCAGGATGAGATGGTATGTCATTCGGTATCTTTTCCCGCCCTTTCTTTCTGATTTTCAAACTCCGAAGTTGCGTATCATGTCGTGACCTTCACACATACTGAGTGATCAATTAGCCATTTCTGGTGTCACACACTTCACTCTTGATACAACCGGATATCTGGTGCTGCTCCCTTCCCAGTCTTCCCCTCTATCTATTTTATACTCCCCCCACAGTCCTGCTGCCATCATCTTACGGCATTCACATGATATAATGAAATGCCACACAAAATTTGAATTGAAATCAAGGATGGTTAAGAGTCTTAAGACCGAAAACACTGATCCTGTCTCTCCGTTTTCCTAATTGAGTCTGCATCAGCCGTCATGTCTGCTATTGATACAGACTCCAGGTAGGGACGGACTTACAAACGAATTCTGGCTGGAGTTTTGGCCCATCTTGGGAGGGGAATACGAAGCCTTCCTCAATCACGCATGACGAAAAATAGGTCTAGGGGTGGAATCGGCGACAGAAGTCGTTACTCTTCAATATAAAAAGGGTGATCCTAAGGATATCTGAAATTATAGACCTATTACACTTTTGACTCTTACCCACAAGATAGTAGCTAAAGCCCTAACTAATTGATTGAGAAGGGGGTTTCCACCTAGATCAAATGGGTTTTATCCCGGGGAGATTTGTATTGGATAATGTAATGACCTTATCAGAATCGGTCAGGTATATTACTGACAAGAGGATCAATGCAGTAATTCTCTTTTTTTATTTTGAGAAGGCATACAATCAGGTTAACTGGAACTTTCTGCAACAATGCATGGAGAAGATGGGAGTGGGGCCTAACTTCCGCAAATGGATTCGGGTATTGTACAACGACGCACATGATCGGGTGCAAGTTAATGGTCATTTATCAGGGAGATATAAAATGAGTAGGTCGGCTAGACAAGGGGACCCGTTGGCGGTCCCTATTTTCCTATTTGAAATGGAGGCCATTGCCTCGTTTCTCAGGAAAGACCCATCGATAGATCGGCTGATAATGGAGCCCGATCAGCAGGGCCGTGTCATATACCTGCCTACAACGATACTATTTGCAGATGACTTAACAGTCCTAATTAAATGCTTCTATCTTCTCCATGTCATGGTACGTAGGAACAATATGGACACCTCCCTCACACTCACTCAACAAACTCAGGAGGGTGGCGGCAGCCTACCTATGGACAGCGAACCCTACCAAGACCAATTATATTTCCAAGGTAGCATGGAGACATGTTATTCAGTCAAAGAATCAGGGAGACTTGGGCATCTTAGACCTGGGACAGCAGATCAAAGCATTCCAAACTAAATAGGTTATCAAGTTAGTGACACAAACCCATCTTCGTTGGGTCCCGTTGGTATTAGACCATATACGAGGGATGGCCAGGTATAAAACTCCACCCAATATGGGGGGAATTTTCTGTTTTTTTTATAAAGGATGGGCCAAGAGGGGAAGAGTAGGAATACAGGGAGGAGAAGAGGGGACGACCAAGAGTTCGTATTGGGCCCAAATTTTTAAGATATGGGCAGAAATATTTCCGGCAAGAGAAAGACAACCGAGGACGAAGGAGGAAGTGTTTAGGCAACCGCTATTTTGTAATCTATGGTTGAAGGACTCCCAAGGAAAACCCAGGACACTAACAGCAAGTGATGCCAAGTGGGGAAATTGGTTGGAGCATGGAATATGGCAAGTGAAACATCTATGGTCAGAAACCGATGGCAGATGGAAAACAGGTAGAGAAATGAGGGAAGAAATGAAGGGGTGTCACAGACTAATCGAAAATCTGAACGACATGCTAATATCCATTCTGGAGGAGTGGACGCGGATGTTGAGGGGTCCATGCAAATGGGGATGGGGTGGCTGGGCAACTTGGTGTCATAGTGAGGAACCACAGCAAGCCTTTCGCATTGGTCAGGAGGTAGGGCCAACTAAACAGTAGTTGGAAGCAGATATGTATACAATCTTGACCCCAGGCACCACAGTGAGTAAACTGGATAAGGACTCGAGGGTGCCAATCACCATCAAGCAAGATCTTTTGAGAAAAGTTAAGAGTTATAGAGAATGAGGAGTTCACAATATATGCTCCAACAATCAGCATTTAGAATCTAGAGATTAACCCAGTAGAATGGGCGTGGAACATCAGGGGAAGCTCGTCACGAGTAGTCAAGAGAATTAACATATTTCAGTATACGACTAAATGGGGGTATCGGCTCAGGAAAAGGTCGAACCAGATGGATAGGCCTTTGGCGATAAGATGGGAGAAGAGGGTGGGCATACCAAGAGAACAGGTAGGCAAACTACCATGGTCAAGCCTACACAGCATCAGATTAAGTAAGATCCGGAGTATGCAGTGGCTCATATTCCATGTGGCACTCCCAGTCAACGCCTGGTTATATGAAAAAAGGAGTAGGCAGCATAGGGATGAGACAGAGCAAGACTGCACCATGTGCACTGAGGGAGTGCCCGAACCGCTGGTGCATTGCTTACTTCGATGCCCGGAAGCAGAGTACATCTAGGCAATAGCTGGTATACTTTGGGAGCGTACTACGGAGGTTCTCTTTCCAAGAAACAGAAGGCTTTTGCTCATAGGAAGGGAAGTACCCAAGGGATGGCGGGCAAGTGAGAAATGCATCTTCCAGCTATTGAGAAAGGAGATGTCAACTGGTGGTAGGTAAAAATTTGTTAGGGCTCAATGGCAGAGGACCAAAATGCAAGCATCAGTCAACCCTGAAAGGGCGAAGGATATCTTCATGAAATTTCAGAATAAGGTATTGGCCCGAGGCAAAGTAGACCATAGAGGGACAGAGACTGATCTTTCATTGGTTTACGGAGGAGCGTCATGAGGTGTCCTTGGGGGCCCAACGGGTGACACAGGAACTAGGACTACCATAGGGATAGGAGGGCGGGTGAGAAAGTGGAGGCC